TGCACGGAACAGTGGTTAGTCACATACTTTACAAAGTCCCCCCCCCCCCAATATTTCCAGTACCCACCTGGCACCATCCATAGTTATTACCATATTATTGACTATATTCCCTGTGCTGCGTTTTACATCCCTGTAACTTTTGTAACTGCCAAGTTGTACTTTTTACTCCCAACCCCCACCCCTCTGGTAACCATCAGCCTGTCCTCCAGAAAAGCTTCTCCCTTTCTGAACGTACCATTTAGGATCTTTTGGGTCTGTGTCCTACTGATATCAGTGGGGAAGGTCCAACCCCAAGACATAATTTGCAACGTTATGAAAAACCTGCATCTTGGCCTGTAGAATAACGAAGCCCCTTGAACTTACACCTTGCGTGACCAACTTAGCTCTGCGACTTTACTTCCTCACTAACTCATTTCTTCCTATTTCTGCCACTCCTTGTTTCTCAGTTCTGGGCCGCCCCCGTCTGAGGCATTTCTCTCGCTGTCTCTTGGTCCTCAGGAATAGAGGGAAATACATATTTGGAAAAGGGAAAGGTCATTGGGGCCTTTATACAAAATTTAAATATAATTTTCCCTTTGAATAATCAAAGACCAGTTTCACAGTATTTCTTTTCAAATTTAAAAGAAGAATAATTGTAGAAAGGGAACCATTGCTTTCTCCATTTGGGAGACAAGTCATCAAACACATTTTCATCTCACTGAAAATTTCCAGAAATCTGTAACCAGCATATTCTCAGTACCTGTAAGTCAGGGTTGTAGGGTTACTTGAGGTATAAAACCTGTAGTAAGTGATGTTTTCTGCTTCGGGACTTTTTATCCACTCTTACTCCCTCTATTCGAGGTGTTAAACTTTCCCAGTGAATATAGGCTTCTTTTGAAAAGGAAAGAACAGCTTTGTAAATATAAGAATATATTCCTGGAATGAAAGAGAGGTATAATTTTTAAAATTGAACTTTTGAACACTACTTAAAAGGTTGAAGTTTTTAAATGGATGAAATGAACGGAAGGAGGTGAGATACTGCTTTCATTCCCCCGAGGAGCACTAGAAGCTCGCCATCCACTGCTCCTCTTTAGCTTTGTTTCTGTTCTCTCAAAACCCATCTTTTTCACAAGTCTGTCCCGAGGTCTGTGGTTGAGAAAACACGCCAGGAAACTAGTTTCTTGCCCTTAATCTCTTTCAGCAGTTGATGTCATTGCTTCATTATTTTTGAGTAGAAGTCATAGAGATGCTGTATTTTTTTCAAAGCTATTACATAATTTCCCTACTGAGACTCTGAAGTAAACACTAACTTTTATTATTTGTTTTTTACTATTTATTTATTTAATTATTTTCATGCTCACCCAGGATGTTTTTTTCCATTGCTTCTCAGAGAGAGTGGAAGGGGGAGGAGAGAGAGAGAGAGAAACATGGATGTGAGGAGAGACACATTGACTGGTTGCCTCCCGCACTTGCTCCAACCAGGGCCGGGATAGAACCTGCAGCTCAGGCCCTTGAGCAGGAATCGAACCCTCAACCCTTCGATGCACGGGCTGATGCTCCAGCTGCTGAGCCTCACTGGCCAGGGCTGTGTCGTGCATTTTTACCCCAGGTTCATTTGTGCACACAAATGACGTTTGGCACACACCTTACCTCTTAAATATTTTAAACGAGCTGCTCCATGAATAGGAAAAGCAGCCCCTGGGAAGGAAAGCTGAACCCACAGCGTAGGTTTAGAACAACCCACGGAACCGAGACCCCGTGCTCGCGAAAGTAAAGGCCGAGGCGGAGGGACGTGGAGGGGTGCACTTCCCAGTCCAGTGCAGCTTACTATCTGCTTTTCTTCACCTTTCCGTGTGCCCCTTGGTCGCACCTATGTGTGTCTCTCCTTTGTGGGGAGCACAGGGCGCCTTCAGCATTCAGCCCCTTCTGACACAGTCTCCTTAGAATATATCTCAAAAGTCTGTGTGACTCAACAGATAGCTACTGTGCCTTTTCCTTTCTGTCAGAACGCGGACTATTTCCCCCAAATTATTAGTTAAGCCTTTATGTAATGTTACCCCAGAACTAGAGAAATAGTTCAACTACAGAAAATATAAAATATTTAATTAGTTTATTTATTTACTCGTGTGTGTGTGTGTGTGTGTGTGTGTGTGTGTGTGTGTAAGGAGAGGGGCTTAAATAGTAACGCAGCACAGGAACCATTCTCAAAGAAGGATTGACTTTGGTGATTCTATTTGATTTGTTTTTCGTTTTTTTTTTTAAGTCCAAGAAATCACACTTTTATGATTAATTTTGGTATATAAGTGACTTATCTTTCTGCCTGGGTGAGCCACTCATCCTTCCAGGCTTAGCTGAGGCTCCAGGCCTAGGCAAGAGGCGAGGAGCACCACTGACACCTGAATCCTCTCTTGTGAAACGTGTATTGTGGTTATTTATAGATTTTGTGTCCCTGTGTCCACCCTCCTTTACAGCAATGACTGTGTCTCTCTCAGTCCCCTTTAGAGAAGTGATGGGACACAGTGAGCAAGGTCAAGGGCTTTCAATGCAGACAGACGTGGGTTTGAAGACGGCTCTGACACTTACGAGCTCGCCTTGCAACACGTTAACCTCTCTGAGGCTTGATAGCTGGCAGGTAGCTGTGAGCCATAAACGAAGTGGTCCAAAGTATCGGTAACGTTAGAGGGTCAGTAAATTAGTAGTAGTCTCTCCCTGGCTCTGACAGCACCTGTGTGAGGGCTAGCACGTAACAGATAGGAAGCAGATTTCTACTGAGTGAGCGAATGGGTGAAATAATAGAATTTCAATCTATTGTATGTCCTTAACAAATATAATTTAGAATTACCATGTTATAACTTGCATGTCATCATGCCTGTGGAAACCCCAAACTACATATAATTTAGAAATTTTTTTTCTGTTTCTGAATGTAAAATCATCTTTTCTTTTATTTGGTTTCAAATAACCTAAGATTTGGTTTGACTTTTATTGCATTTATGCCAGGAGTTAAACGGCGGTCTCTGAATTTTACCCCAGCTCACCCATCGTGTCTTCCCTGGGTGTCGTCTGCACTGGTCCTGGGTGACTTTAGGCTCCAGCCCATTTGATGGTTACCGTGGCATTCCTCCAAGTGGAGCCTTCTAATTTTAGAGTCAAGACGCTGGGGGAACAAACCACAGATGTGCATTGAAATATGCACAGTATGAGCACAGAGCCTTTTCTGAGAGTTATAATAAGAAAGGCCTTTAACCTAAAGATGTTGTTTGAAAACTTAGCATATTTCCTTTTCTTTTTCTTGGAATAGTCCAAGAATACTACCTGATTTTTCCCACATCACGTTGGGTTTTGAGAAGCTAAAAATATTTTATCAAAACACTTGTTCTCCAAGTGTAGTCTACACCTCTCAGACTTTTGTAGGTCATAACAGATTTTAAATATTATATTCAACTCAAAACAAGCTTTTATATTATGTAATACAGAACATTTTTGCACTTTATAATTCAATTACTCTAATAAGAACTCTTACTTAAACCTCTCTCTTTATTTATTTATTTTTCCTAAAAGGAGGTCAGAAAAAATTTTAAAAAAAGAGGTCGGAAACTTGACTATTACTAGAGTCCAGACTTTTTCAGGGCCTTGCTCTTCCTGTTTTGTTTGCCTAGAATATCCACTTACTCATCTCCCCATGTTGAAGTTGGACCATTTGTTAATTCTGTATGCATTTACTGAGGTCTACTTATACAAGAACTAGTTATATTTGTAGTTTTAGAGAGAGATACTCATAGAATATTTTGCTTTACCTGTCGTTGGATGTGAACCTCTCCTGCTTTTCACTATCAGGATATTTTACATCTCCCAGAATAGCTTCCTTGCCTGAGTGGTGTACCAGTTAGCTATGAGCTTGTTTCTTACCTCCTGCTAGTAGAGCCTACCTCAGCTCCTGGTCCGTATTTTTTATCAAGTTTAATGGAGGGTGTAGACACCCCTACGGGGATTAGTAGAACCAGAGTCCAAAAACCCTGGTTCCCAGACTCCACTAACCAAAGACATTTGCTTCTGGCTCCCCAGGAATTCCACATGTGCCTACAGAGAGGGTGTCCCAGGCAGCACCCACCCAGCCCGCCTGCAGAATGGGCTTGCTTTTAGAACGAGCCACATCCAGAGTCTAGGAGAGACACGGCTGGAGACCCTACATTCCACTCTCACCTACTCATTGGCGATACAGTTGGGAAGCTAATATGAAAGTTGGCTTAATTAAACTGACAATGTTGTTGACTTTTATTAAGCAACTACTGCCAAACCAAATTGAAAGCTGAGTTGTTTTAAAGTAATTTGTAACATGGAAACATTTTACCTGACATGGCACCATTAGCTAAACTGTCTAATCTGACTAAAGGCCCTGATCTTACTTCGGGTCATAAACAGATTGGCTGCAATCCTTTTTCAGTTTCCGTGGGTCTAAATATTAGCTAAGCTATGCATGTTATATTAGGAACATCTGATGCATTTATGTTTAGAGAAATCATCATTCCAGATGAAACGCATGTGCCTCATCGCCCCTTTCCTAATATTTTTTGGGGGACTTCAGAAATGTATGATTAAAAAAAAAAAAAAAAAAAAAGCTAAAACAGAAATGAATCAGCAAGGAAGAAATAGAAGTAGGCCAGGTGGCTTCTCAGATCTTTTACTTTGTGCTTTTGATGCCAATCTTTTATTGCTGTTGCCCTTAAGTAGAATGAGAATCTGGACAAGAAAGAATGAAATGAGTGAAAATTGAACACCATTCTGACAGGGACTGTCTCCGTCATTTCATAGATGTAAGACTGTGGCTTAGTTTTATTTATGCCATGCATTTTATCTTGGTAAGAGGAAAATGACAAAAAGATGCAATAGATTACTAAAGTTGGTATCTTAATAGTAATATTAACACTAGGTGTCAGAGGTATTATCTAACCTATATTTATGAGCTTACCTAAGTCATTTCCTGGCCTCTGTAAGTCCATTTTCTTTTGAAATTCTTTTTACAGGTAAAGATAAGATTAAAGTGTCTGAGGATGACTTGAAGAAACTCCCTCTAATTAAATGGTGTATTTTGGAAACGATTCGTTTAAGAGCCCCGGGTGCCATTACTAGAAAAGTGCTGAAACCAGTTAAAATTTTGGTAAGCTCTGGCTTGGTTTTAACATAATCCTTCTAGGGGAAAAAAATGTACATGTTTTGCCCATATATTATTAGATAATTCCTTAAGTTCCTGTAGCACTAAATGACCCTGGAATAGGTTACTAATAAGAGTTGTGCAGCAACATTTTGTTAATTTGGGTGTTTACCCATTGGTGAAGATTTTAGTTATAGCATAATCTTTTAATAACCATTTTGGCCCCTTTTAGCTACAATATAGTATTTTAATAGTCATTTTGGCCATGTGATTCTGTATCAGAATTAGTATAACTCTACTTCAATCAAGCAGGTAGATAATATCTTGTCTGCTGAGCAGCCATAGGTTAAGGGATTCATGTGTGAGTGAAGTTCCAGTTGGAAGACAGATTCAGGCCACAGGTTAGAGTTATGGGAACAGATAGAAGGAATGTCATGGATAATAGCAACTGAGATTAGCAATCAGCCTCTGAGTGAGTGAGAGAGGCCCTTTCTATGGGCAACGTAGCAGAAAATTCTGGAGAGCACCATGTGTACATGGCAGAATTTCAGTTCAATATTTGCTGAATCAATCAGGCGGAACAAAATATTTTTTCAGAATTATTTGACTTAGAGCCTGCAAGATGACATTAAGTTGGACCTCCAGTCTTAGCTTTTTTTTACACACAGCTTGAGAGTGCCTGGATTCAAACCAAGAACATTTTGTAGTAGTAGAACACAAAAGAGACAAAAAAATCCAAATTTTCTAAAGGTTGCAACTTGCTGAATTCAGAAGAGATGTTGTTCATTTAACTGAACTTACATAAGTTACAGCATTTAGTTTTAGTGGAATTTTAATAGTTTTTGCTTTTAAATAATCAAATTCTTAATGACTTTAAACCAAAAGTATAAAAGAATAAGATTTGAGAGGAAATGGTCAAACAACCTAGTACAATTAAGTAGAACAATGTGTTTATTACTCTGAATATTACTATAATTTTTATTGAACTTTTATTTATATTATAAATATTTATAATGCATAACTATATAAAAATAAATATATACACATATTATACATATTTATACAGGGTGGGGCAAAAGTAGATTTATAGTTGTGAGTATGTGAAACAGTTTATTCTCATGTTATTATTTAATTATTGTGTTATTTTCCCTATGAACAACTGTAAAACTACTTTCCCACTCCTATATTTTTTATATCATAGCCTCGTTTATACTCTGGCTAGTAGGGAATTATTTGAATTACACAATCATTATTTATCGGTCAGCCTAGGTATCTTGATTTTTATTTCAAGCATACAGATCCTATACATGTTTTGTTAGATTTATACCTAAATATCTCAGTTATTTTGAATCTTTTGTAAATGGTATAGGTATAAAGGTTTCCTTCTCTGTCATATATCACTTGTTTGTGGAAATACAGTTGATTTTGTGTGTGTGTGTTGACCTTGTGTCTGCAACTTTGCTAACCTCACTTATTGGTCCTAGGAGTGTTTTGTAGATTCATTGGGAGTTTCTGCGTAGATCATATTTTAATTTCTCCCTTTCCTACCTGTATGCCCCTCCGTCCGTCTTCCTGCCTTATTGCATTGGCTCTAAACTCCAGCTCGGTGGTAAATAACAGTGGTGACGGCAGATATCCTTGCCTCGTTCCTGATCTTTATGGGGAAACATTTAGTCTTTCACTGTTAAGTGTAATGTTAGCTGTGGGATTTCTGTAGATACCTGGAATACATCCAATTTCCTTTTTTTTTTTTTACACATTGTTAGATTTGTTTGGCTAATATTTTGTTGAGGATTTTTGCATCTAAGTCCACGAGAGGTATCGTGCTACAGTTTTCTTCACTTTTTATTTTGCACTATTTTGTCTGGTTTCTATACCGTGACAATCTCTCACAAGGTGTCTCATGCCTGTCCTGCCCCCGTCTCTTAAACTCTCGCATCCCTTCCTTTCCTTTCCTTCCTCCACCCTCCTTGCTTCTCTCCTTTCCCTTCTTCCTCCCTCCCTTCCCTCTTTTCTACCACACGTATTTCCTTATGAAAGACAGTAAAGAAAAAGTCAGCAGTATAGTTCTCTCCTCTCCCCCCTTACCTTTTTCCTTTACTTCCCATGGCCTCTTTCTGGCCTCATCGTTCACATTTTTTTTTTACCCTGCAATTGCTCTCCTTTAAGTTCCCATTTCGGGCTCTGGCCAGGTAGCGGGTTCGATCCCCAGTCAGGGCCCATACAGGAAGCGAGCAGTGAATGCATAAATAGGTGGAACAACAAATCGCCGTTTCCCTCTCTCTCTCTCTCTCTCTCAAATCAATTAAAAAAATGAATAAAGTTCCCATTTCATCTCTCCTAACCATACCCGGGACCAAACCAGGAAGAAAAAAACCATAAGGACTCACATAGCTAAATTCCTGTAAACACTTTTGTTTCCCGTTGCCTTCGGGTGTCTCCTCTCCTGCGAGCTGCAGTGTGGTCTGCGTGGCTTGAACGTCTCTAGCCGGTCGCTCTGCCTGCCGCGTGTATGGCCTCTCGGCGCCTCTCCTCGGGCCTGACACCGAGCTGTGCTGTTTCATCAGCTAAGTATCTGAGATCATCACAGCCTAAGTCTATAGTAACAAATGTTTAATTTGTTACATAAATGGATTTCCTTCCCAGGCACCAACCAAAAACTTTTAGGCATATACCACTTTCCAGCCCAGGTAATGCGCTCCTGAAACTGTTTCCTTCCTGGCTCCTGCTGTCCTGACTCTCGATATTCTCACGCTGTTCATTTATCTTTATTTGGTTAATTATACTTATACCCCAGTACTTCTTCCTTCGCGTAAACACTACTTTGCGCCTATGGTTCTGTATGGTTCATCCTGTTTCTTTTCCTGTAGCTCCTGCTGTGCAACCACCTGAAGCCTGTCTCCCGGGCCCCCTTGTCTCCCTTCTCCCAGCAGCATTTTCCACCGGGTAGATGTTAGTTTTGTGCGTATTTCATTTTACTTTTCATTTCAGGATCCCTGAAGATGACTCAGTTAATTTCCCCCTTTCCGGTATTTTTATTTTACCAGAAGAGCCCTGGCAAAAAAGGCATTTGTTTTTCAGCATAACATTTCTTGTCTCTTGACCAGCAGTTCCCTGGTCTGCTGGTCAGGCGTCAGCATTGGCACTGTTATGCTCACTCCATATTCCATCATCCCTTCCCCCACCGAAGCCCTTTTCCATCCTTAAGTGAGCAGCTCTTGGGGGAGCTTTTAACCTCATGCCGGCATGGTCGGGGCTGTTAACATCACAAAGTTTTTCAGAATTAATTTTACTTATTTCAACAACTTTACCAAAAGAAACATCCGTGCTTAAAACACATGCACACACACGGACACTCATGCCTGCACAGTCCTACAACCCCATGACTGTACGGTAACGACTATCCGACATTCTCTCTGTGTGACATCAGTACAGAAATCTAGTTTTCATCATAGTGTGTCATTTTAAAAAAAGTTTTTAACATTATTTTTCACTCTTCATGCATCCAGAGAGTTTTCATATTTATGTCAGTTGCCACATCATAGTCCATTGAGTTAATAGCTTAAATACTTAATTATTTCCTGGCTCTTGAGAATTTAGATGGCTTTGCTTTATGGTTATTATGTGGTAATTATTTGCACCTTTGTGCAGAGTACATTTTTTTTTTTTTTTTTAGTGATTATCCTTTACTGGTGGATTACTGGTCCGAGAGTATAAACACATTTATGATTCGCTACATGCAATCCTCTTGCAAAATAGAACTATTTCATAAGTCCAACACCTATGGGACCTCAATAAAAAAATTTAAATTACAAATAATGGATATCCAAAATGAGTCAAGAAATTATTTTTAAAAAATTAATAGTCCATTGCCCAGCCTGGCGTGGCTCAGCGGTTGAGCATCGACCTAGGATCCAGGGGATCGGGGTTCGATTCCCAGTCAGGGCACATGCCAGGTTGCGGGCTCGATCCCCAGTCCAGGGAGTGCAGGAGGCAGCCGATCAATGACTCTCTCATCATTGATGTTTCTCTCTCTCTCTCCCTCTCCTTTCCTCTCTCTGAAATCAATAAAGATATATTTTTAAAAAAATTAATAGTCTACTTCCTAACACTCACACTTTCTTCCCAGCAGATGTGGGGCTCATATCTATTCAGTCTCCTTCCAGGCCCCAGCAGCTGGTTGTGGACGTCTTAGTGCTGGAGCAGCCCAGAGACCTGTGCTCAGGCTGTGTCTTCCCAAAATGTCCCAGCACTTCCCTTCACTATTTCCCACTATATCTTTTTCACATTTGTAAAAGGTGCAGTGCTGCCTATATTAACTGTTTCTTTTGTAAACGCAGCCTTTCCTCTTAGGAGGCCCATACTAATCTGAATTTCTCCCTGTGGAGATGAGACTTTACCTTTAAAAATAATAGCTTGCACAGTTTCCTTTTTATTACATAAGTAATACATGGTAATTAGAAAATAAAAAGAGGAGACCACAGAAAGGAGCTGAGAGAAGAGATGAAAAATTGCTTAAAATTTCACAAGTCAGAGATAATTACTGTGAACACTTGGTACTATTATAATTTTAGATTTTTTTATTCCTATAGTGTTTGCATTTTTAAAAATTCAGTTGGGGTCATACTATGCTAATTTTTTATAACCTGCTTTTATCTCACTTAATAATAAATCACAAATAATGTTCTATATCAATAAAGGACATCTAGGCCATGGGAATTGCAGCATAATAATCTAATATATGGAGAGAGTATAAATTTTTAAGTCGATCCCCTGTTCTTGATTATGTATATGGCTTTCGTTTTTTCACTGTTATAAACCGTGCAAAGATGAACGTCCTTATAGCGAAATCTCTGTGTATGGCAGTAATTATTTTCCTAGTATAAATTCATACACCTTGGCCACTTTAAGCTTTATTAAAGTAGTTTCCAAATATATTTAGGTGGAGTGTCTTCACTGACTATATTAACATGTTCCTAGGGATTTGGATTATAGAAAACGTTTCATAGGGGACCATCTGTGTTGCTAGTGGCAGAGGCTCCTTCACATCGTCTCTCCTGTTGGACAGCTGGTCAGGGCTTCCTGCTCTGAATGCCAGAAGCACTGTCCCACCGGCCTTCCCTAGACTAGTCCGAACAGGGTATCACTGTTTATTTTTGCTCCTGTGGTCTTTTCTCTGTTTTTTTGAATAAATGAAAACGAAGAAACGCTATCCGCTTTCTTGGGTTTACTCCACTTCTTCCTGGTCTTTATTCCACCTTTTGCAAACTCTGAAACGCCTACGTGTACTCTCTCTTCAGGGTTTCATATTTTTAGTACAAAGCTGATCTGCAAGAACACGAAGCAAAGAATACACAAGGAAGTGTTGGAGAATATGAGTCGTTAAGGAGCATTAATTATCTTCTCGAGGTATTAAAACATGTTTATAAAACTGCAACAATTAAAATGGCATGATGCTGGCGTCAGACCAGGTGTTCAGGTCAATAGAACAGACTGAATAGGTAACAAAGAAACAAAAGCCCTTGTACCTAAGAATTTACCAGAATAAGCAAATCATTATAAATTAACGAAGAGGGAAGAGATTAATATGTGGATTGGAATGGCTCACTTAAAGCGGGTACTTTTTTTAAACATAGTGGTTCTCAAACTTTTGGTCTCAGGCTCCCTTTATACTTTTCAAAATTATTGAAGATCCCAAAGAGCTTTTGTCCGTGTGAGTGATATCTGTTTATAATTTACTGTATTAGCAACCAAAGCTGAGAAATTGTTCAAGTATTTATTTAGTAATTCATTTAAAACGAACAAGAAACCTATTATATGTTAAATAATAGCATGATTTTAAGAAACATATTTTCCAAAACAAAAAAGTAGTAAAAAAAATAGTATCATTTTAAAACGTTTGCAAATCTAATACCCTTCTAATAGAAGATATCTGAATTCCTATGTATGTATCTGCAGTCAGTCTATTGTGATATATTGTTTTTATTGATGGAAATGAAGAAAATTAAGCCTCACATTGACATGTAGCCAAAAAAATAGTGTTTTTTAGTAGCCTTTTCAGATATTTGTGGCTACTCTTTGATACTACATTAAAATTCAACAGTGGCACTTTCTTAAAAGTTTGTTGCAATCTGAAAATATGTCAGTGCATTTTTGTAGTAAGTTATATTAAAATCCGTTGGCGTATCCTATACTTTGAATGAGTGTTTTACTCAGGAGTGATGCCTGACCTGGCAGACCCTGTGAAAAGGTCTTTGGGACTCCTAGAAATCTCTAAACCACCTTTGAAACCCACTATTGCAGAGAGAAGAGGGCCACCAAAGTTTAGGGTTAATCAGTGAAACCACAAAGCAGATGAACAGATTTGAATGTACCATATCATAAATTAACATGTCTTATTTTATCAAGGATAACCCAAATTAAATGTAAACCAAAAATTAAGAATAAATGTCAATATGTGTGTAACACAAGGGGAAATAATTTCAGTGTTTAAGGAATTCACAGATCAATAAGTAAAGCACCAAGGTTACATAGATAATGTGGATAGGACATGAGCACAGAAGTTTATAGAAGAAAATAACATGGAAATGCTCAACAAAGACATAACATTTTAAGTGGCAATCAAAAATAGCCTATTAAAAATGTCAGGTTAGCAGATAAGAGGGCAATAAAACTGACACGCTCATGTTGTAGTTAGAAACATTTTTCTACAAAATTTGAGGAAGCAGTTAAGCAATGTGTATTAGTAGCCTTAAAAATATCCATGTCCTGTGTCTTCTGAACATCGGTGTTAAACGATTTTATATGAAAAATGCTTTGAGGAAGCAGACTCCAGTGATGGCATTTATAATAGAAAAAACAGTAGAGAGTGAGCAGATTAATTATGGGTTAACCTCCCCAATGAAAGATTAAACAGCTATTGGAGAGGAAATTATTCACAATGACTCTACAATATAAAGAAAGGAAGTCTTTAACTTTTAAAGTTTTTTTTTTTTTAATGCCACTAAGAGCAACCAAGCTCCTGGCCCAGAGCTAGGAGGAGATCCATGTGGCTCCAGACCTTCTCCTATGGAGACTTTGCCTTCATTAAACTCCTCCTTTCTCTTTGAAGACCCTGCATTCCTTGCACCCACTTTTGTGCTCAGAATTCCTCTCGAGGTGCAGCAGAGAGCCCTTCCTTTTCTTCCCCCTTCGAGAAGCCCCATCTCCAGCCCAGCGCATGCAGCTCACTCGGCCTCTCGGTATCTCCATGGGGCGGGCTGGCCGGGGTCAGGTCTGTCCACCCGAGAGATGCAGTCATTGCCACAAGTCGTGACTTCTTTTTGCTAGCGGCCTGTGTTCCAGTCCTGACTCTTTGGTCTCCCTCTTCACCTGTCCTGTGAACGACGACAGGGCCTGTTTGGTCTGGACGTGCTGATGTGTGTTCGCTCAGAGGGCCCCTTTGATACAACCGGCTCTCACATCCCCTTACGCCGTTTGCCAGCCTGGCGTTTGCTGCTGCAACAAGCATGCCTTTCTGGGGTCCTCCTGTTGCGGATCATGGTGTTATCGAGGCCGCCTTTGAAGCCTTCCTCTGCTAGCTGCTCTGTGGCCGCAGCAGCCAGCAGCCAGCAGCCTCCCAGTCATAATCATAGGTCTGCTGGCACGAAAGAGGGTGACGGGGTGGGGAAGGGAAGGACAGGCTGCCTCCAGCCCTGGCCGCAGTGATTTCAGGATCAGCCGTGACCTCTCTAGCCTCGGTCCCAGCCTCGGTCCCAGAAGGAACACACAGGATTGGGATCTCGCNCGGAGGGAGAAGGAACACACAGGATTGGGATCTCGCAGGCCTCTTTCAACTTTAAAAATTGTTAAGAGGGCACCAGCAAGCCTCTGACTCTCCAGCTGTCCTGGCACTGAAATGACCAAACTCAAGCAATAGTCAGCTCCCACGGAAGCCAACAGGGGCTCTCCTGGGTGAAAAAGCGACGACCCCTCCCCGTGCCCCGCTCCCTGCTGCCGTAAGAAGACACATTTTTGATTGTAAGGTGCTGATTCTAGACTCATGACCTTTGTGATTTGCAAGTACCTTGAGGACACTTGAAAATTATGTCGGGTTGGATAGACGTGGCTGCTTGTGTTTGGCAAGGGGAGTTGCTAATAAAATGGCCTCGCTCAGTCAAGTTGGTGGCTGAGTGGTGGTGATCACACACTCTGGGAGAGCTCTGAGCACGGTGATGTAAAGGTGACTTTGTGACGTGGTTTTAATTCTTGGTTTAGTTTGTTTAACATGAGCAGAGAAGGACCACGCAGGCTCTCCTATCTGAGGAATCACACTGCTGAGGCCCCATAACTACCGCAGCCGCCAACACAAAACCAACCAAATAAACGCACAACACTTGCCTCGCCCTTGCTCCTTCCTAACCAGTTGTCTTCATATTTCTTCTGCCCCAACAGCTGCTGCTAGAGTGAAAAAACAAACAAACAAAGAATCCACTGAGCCTGCCCGACGCTCTCATGAGCGTCCCCAGGGGCGGGACACCTGCTGACCCTGTCCTCAGTGCTGAGACCAGTGTCCTGTCTCAGAGTGAGATTTTTCTCGGACACTTGCTGCACACCTCAGTGTTGAACATCAAACACTGCATGAGAGTGGACCTATACTAGTTTCTGAAGTTTTCACATTTTCCTAATATTTTACCCCTTTGTAACTAAATATATATGTACCTGTAGCTGACTGTCAGAATTAGAAGTCAATCACTGCCTACGTTGGAAAGCAGAACTCTCCACCCAGGAAAGAGAAGTTCTCACCACTGATGATAAAATGCATATGCCTTCTCCACAGTATAGTTGTAGCCTTATTGTTAACGACCCAAACTATCTTTAAAGCAGACTTCAAAAAAAAAATGACTTGGACCCAATTTTTCTACCGTAGAATTTCACTGTTCCTTCCGGCGACTTGCTGATGTTGTCTCCGTTTTGGCTCCATAGAAACCCAAAGTATTTTCCTGAACCGGAATTATTCAAACCTGTAAGTTACGTCTTTCAATATACACGGTCCTTTGATTTTAATTTCTTTTCGTACCAGGAGTATGAATTCATGAATTAACTAGGACTGTGTTGTTAAGCAGCATATTTCTCTTGTGACGAAGGCTACAAAATACGGATTAGATTTGCAATACGGATGGCACAGCGTGTATAACAAATCAGATAGGGAAGTTTCCAGAATAAGCCTCAGCAGCTTTGAAATAAATTCTCATCTGAAACCAGCAGGGCGTGTGGAAATAAACACGCCTGGTTTTGATAGAAGACTTAGTTTATGCTCTTCAGGCAATTGTTCCCCTTATTGGTTTCCAAGGAGCACAAAAAATAAAAATGAGGCAAATTAAAAACTGTGTTCCTCTGTTTCTTAGAACTGGGGAGATACAGGGCTGAACAGAATCCTGAGAGGCCATTTGGTTTGTTCCCTGCCTTGAGGGAAAACTGTCAGAAACGGCATCCGGATGTATTCATTCTGCGCCCCAGGCTCCCCTCTCCAGGGCTGTCAGCGTCTTATTACTAAATTTATCACCAAGGCGCTTCATGATGGAGGCTGAGGCCTTATTGTAAATATCCTTTCTTCTGGGGTCATTTCTGTGGTTGATTTACATTGTCATCTACATTTGCCACGCAACAGAATTCGTTTCAAATCTTTTTATTTATTAGTTATGTTCCCCAAACATAATCATGGCTGATATTAATAACAGGTTGGAAAAAATGACCAACAGCCCTGCAACTTTATATGCAAGGATTAGCTGTACAAGATCATTTTTAGCCTAGAGAAATAAAGTTAAGCTTATTTATATAAGGCTGATTTGGAAGAAGAAAAAAAAAAAATGTTTTCTTCCCACAGGAACGTTGGAAAGAGGCGAATTTAGAGAAGCACGCTTTCTTGGACGGCTTCGTGGCCTTTGGAAGCGGGAAGTACCAGTGTCCTGGGAGGTCAGTGAGACAGCTGGGCCACGTCTATCCGGAGTCTGCACAAAGATGGGGGCTCCGAGCAGGGGAGCTCTGGCTTCGTCTTTCTTTTCTTTATGATCAAGCTGCAGGGAAAGCCAGGGGAGCGCATTTTGTTTGGTTGGCCTCTTTGTGAGGATGTCTGAAGTGGCTTCTGATGGGAGGCCTCACGAGGACAGAATATCACGGTTCCAGCTGCCAGGTGCAAGCAGGGCCTATGTTTCAAATGCCCAGCTCTCGCTGAAGGGTAATTCAGAGTCGCTTTAGTTTTACCTTTTTAAAAGATAAAGATAGAGGTATAATACTTTTTTAAGTACAGCCTCCTCATGCACATTTGTTGGGGTTCCAGAATGTCTTTAGCATGGAGCATCGCAGCAGCTTACTAAGCGGCTTTTGTTTATTGGGCTGGTTTGGTTCTATCAAAACGTTTTTGGTACCATTTGTAGTTAAATTAATCCGGCACCCAGGACCTCTTTTCAGCGTGATGCCCTGTTGTGGGGCAAGTGTTCGTCATTTAATGAAAGATAGTTAATGCTTCTTTATTCAAGCAGAAACTTTTTGGAAACGTCTCACCTGTGCCAGGCCCCCTGCGAAGCCTCGGGGACAGAGCAGTGAGGAAGGTGACGTGGTCCCTGACCTCATAAACCTAGCACTCTGCTCCAAGCAAGTCCCATTTCTCCACTGGTGCTGATTCTGTTAGAGAATTATTGTTACCTGTCTGTAACAAAATCTCACTCAGCGGATGTACAGATCCTTTACAAATCTTATACGGCAAAGTTGTAGCCCCTTGATTTAAGAAGTCAGTTGTCTGTCTTGTTTGAATAGTAATATCAGTGCATGTTTGCAGTTATGACTTGCTCACGGCGTCCGTTCTGCTGCTCATGTTTGACAGTGTCGATGTGCTTTTAGCGATACACACCTCCCCCAGAAAGGTTTTAGTCAGTCTTAGCCAGCCATCAGCATTCTAGCTTCCATTTTTGGAGTTGTTCTAGCCCTGGTTGGGTAGGTCAGTTGGTTAGAGCATCGTCTCAATACTCCAAGTTTGCGGCTGCGATCCCCGGGTCAGGGCACATACAAGAATCAATGAATGAACCCATAAATATGTGGAACAACAAATCCATGTTTCCCTCTCTCTCTCTCTACCTCTCTAAAATCAATAAAAATGGAAGTTATTCCAGGAGCCTAAGGGTAAGCAGATTGTTGCCAAGTGTTTCCCTGGAGACGCTGTTTGGTGTAGGTAGTTGACCTGAACCGACCAACGAGACTGAAAGGAGAGATTTTTCTTCCACGGCGACAAGAGAGGCCCCCTTGGTGCCTTTCCGTCAGGCGTGAGCACGGGAGCTGCAGCCCAGTTTCCTAGCAGCAGATTCCAGCAGAGCAAGCTCACGGTGCTGCAGGACACAGACACGGACGAAAGCTGGTCCTGTGATTTCACTGTGTCACTGAATCATGCGTTTTGAAGAGCTTATCGACTTCCTGTCATGCTAGACAACAAATGTTTTTCATCTTTATAAATAATATAGTATATATGTTTATTACATACAATAAACGTTCATGATTTTCAAGGCAGTTCTAGTTGAAGTTTTTATCGTATAGAACTGAAAGCACGCTGACATATCCACTAGAAAGTTTCCAAGGTGTGAACACTTGAAAATTGAGTGTCTAATACTTTAGAGACAGAGTGTAACAAATAAAAACAACAGTAATAGCAGAAACCCAAAATACGTGCTTCTTGTATTATTTTTACTTGATTAGTGGTTCTTAAGCTAAGAGCACATTTGTTGTTTTTGTCACCTATTAACTATCAATTTTGAAAGAGTAGCTCTTCTAAAAAGAGTAGATATTACTTTTTTTAGGTTCCTTTTATATATATTTCCAATTGCAACTAAAGAGTTTATCAGAACCATCTTTGAATCTGGACCAAGAAATATTTTTAACTAAGGTCTGAAATGCTTGGCAATAAAGCATGTAGTATAGGCCACTGGTCAACTGATGACTACTGTTTGTAAGAGGAGCTGTTAGGACATTACTATAATATCTTTTGAGGCTGATAGACATTTGCTTGGGTTCAAGAGTAATGGATACAATAGAGAGAACCATGACATTTCAGGTCAATCAGTAGTATCTTATTTATACAAAAACTGTAGAAATTTTTGCACTAGAACTGTATAAAAATATATATTGATTTTAGAGAGAGAGGAAAGGAGAGGGAAGGAGGGAGGGAGAGAGAGAGAGAGACATCCATGAGAAAAATCGATCGGTTGCCTCCCACCTACACCCTGACCAGGGATCGAACCTGCAACCTGGACATGTGCCCTGACTGGTGACCTTTTGGTGCATGGGATCCCACTCAACCAATTTAGCCAAACCGGCCAGGGCTGCGCTAGAAATTTAATCCCACAAACCTTGAGTATAATCCTCAGAAAATTGCGCCCATCCTTAGTTTGTGTACCAGGAGCCAATTTATTTTCTCATGTACAAAACACTCAATGAGTCAGAGAAAGTTGCCTATAAAGTCTCTGGAGATCAAAGTTCGTCACGAACAGAGTCTTGTGGCCTTCCAGCGGTCACCCCTTGGAGTTTAGGCCACTGAGGCAGCATGAGAGCCCCTCGCACAAGTGAGCACAGAAGTTTTGCTGAAATTACTCAACGAGCACTCAGTGCTGCCAGCAGCGGCTCGCTAAACCTCGGAAAGGACTGTAGTTCCTCCCCCGAAGGGTGGGAGCTCTCAAATACGTTTGGAGGAAGCCCCCCTTGCTAGGCATTTCCCGGAGCTGGGAAGCTCCCGGGTGCACACCGCAGGGGAACTCTTCCTAATTCCACTGCTGGAGTAGGAGGGTGGTTTGCAGGAAAACAGGGGAAAGCGGCAGGAACTCGCAGGCTGCTTCAGCGAGGGTGGCAAACAAAACGAAGCCTCGCACTGCACTGGAGATTCTCCTCCTCAACTGTGAATCTAAATGGAGAAATAGGACGGGGTTTTTAGTGGTGTGTGGGTGTCTCTGACGGTTGATGATCTTAGCAGAAAGGGGTGTGCCTGCTAGACCCAAGCCCTGGAATCTACACCAGCGCCAGCAGCCTCGATTTTCCTTGGTTCTCACTCCTGCAACAGGATGCCCGGGTGGCTGTATCATCGCACTAACTGATAGGGGTCCCATTCCAGCGTAAACAGTCACCCTGAGTGTTGGCAAGATTAACGTGCGTACGAAGGCACCCGTGGGTAAGAAGAGGGTTATATGAGAGTAAGGCTGCGGTGCTTGAGAAAGGGAAATGAAGCATGGACTGCTTGGGAATAGAAACTGTGACTTCCACCTCTGTGTGTGTGTGTGGCTCCCACATGTGTCCTAGGCCACAAAGTCATGGGCTTGTCTTGAATTGCTAATGAAAATCACACAGCTATTGGAAAATTAATCCAAACGTAGATCCAGCTGATAGTAGATTGGTTGTAGTAGCATTCAAACTAACGAATACCTCTTGAGCACCTAGTATTAGTATGATTATTGTTTCACTCAAATATTTTCTGTATGTGTGCTGTATTTCAGGGTAGGGCTCTAGGAGTTATCTTGGAAAACAAAATAAAGGGTGAAAGTCCCTTCCCTCAAGGAACTTACAGTCTAACTAAAGTCACTATTAAACACCAGAGAGATTCAAAGACCTAACATTCCTGAATTCCTTATAATGTAGCTGGGGAGGTGAGACATAGCAACACAGAAACAAGCCTGCTTAACAGCAGAAACGCCTGCTGAGTCACGTACCTCATAATTGCCATAGGAGCTCAGAGGAAGGGGCATTAGAAGGGGCTCGATGCCCTAGGTGGGAACCTTTCCGACAGGCAGGGGTGTCAGACTTTGAGGGGAGACAAAGGGGAAATGCTCATAGGAATGTAATGGACTGGATGGTAATGTAGCAAGGCACCTATCTATTTGGGGTTTGTGAGGCTCCGAGCACAGTTTCTATGTTTATTTTAAAGATAATGTCATTTTAATAATTGTGCCTTAATGAAATATCATTGTACAACCTTGTCTTTGAGAAATACTCTAAGTGGCTCTTCCTTTTATACTTAGGAACAGCTGATCGCTTTTGAGGGGATGTAGCAAATTCAGCATACGGGGTGGACAGAGGTAGATTTACAGTTGTAGTACAAATAAATAACACGCTAATTAATAAAGAATACCAGAATAAACTGCGTTTTGAGTACTCACAACTGTAAAACCACTTTTGCCCACCTCATATTCTGAGGAATTTGTTGCATAAACAAATGCATCCCCTCAACTCCAGTTGTTAAATAGAACTGCGTTTACTTATAGAGAACTGTATTTACTTATGTGGTTGTTACCTAATGTTTTCAGCATGGTGTGCACATGTCCTGGGGGTGTATAGAAGGGTTAGGATGAGGGTGGGCAGGGGAGATCCGATCGATACCAGGGCTCTGAGCCGGGCTGCAGAGGCCTTTATTAATCTGTAGCCACGCTTCTCCCTCCATTCTGCTTTACTGAGGAGCAGGGACTCACTCGAAGGAGCGCAGAAACCACGGGCAGAATTGTAGTTGTTATTTTCTTGGCCATTTCACGTTGACAGTTCATTATGAGGCTGAGATTTAAGTCTGCCAAGAACAAAAGAAGCAATTCAAGAGTGACTTCTGATACACTGATAGGCCTAAGTGCTAAAATAGAAACTGTGACTTCCGATTGAAAACATGTGACTTCCGGCATGAAAACATGCCGATTTCAGAGCAGAATTTCAGAAAGGACTCTTTTCTTTTAACTTACAAAATAGATCTCCAGCCCCTCTGTGGTGCACAGACTACCTGGGCAGGATTTCTCNTGAGGCTGAGATTTAAGTCTGCCAAGAACAAAAGAAGCAATTCAAGAGTGACTTCTGATACACTGATAGGCCTAAGTGCTAAAATAAACATGCCGATTTCAGAGCAGAATTTCAGAAAGGACTCTTTTCTTTTAACTTACAAAATAGATCTCCAGCCCCTCTGT